TCTTTCTAAAGTATACCCTATCCTCTGTTTAAAATCCTCGACGTGCCCCCTCTGCTATGTGTAAGAAAAGTTCAAATTGCTTAGCAAAGTATGTAAAATCTTTCATCATTTTGTCCCTTCCCACTATTCCACTTTCATCATGTATGATTTCCCTATATATACTGAAATTCTGCCATATTAAATGACCTGTAGTTTATTGATAATATAATAGTTTTTTTCAGGTAATGAACTCCTACTCATTCTGAAAGAATAGGCTAAGATTTCACCTACTCATTTAAGGCTTCTCTATGTCTCCAATTAGAGTCAGTTCTTCCACAATTACTGCTAACGTACACACTGGACACGGAATATATCATGAGGTCTAACTTGCAGAGATTTAAGTAGTCCTTGATCATATGTAGTGGCTCTGGAGAACTACATGGGTCATTCTGTGCACAGGAAAGGCCAATGATTAGATTAAAATCTGCATCTTTTTCAGTGCAATCCATTCAAACACTATCATAAGCTAGCTGGAACAAAAAGCTCCAACAAATACAAGTCATGGCACTTAGCTAAATTAATAACACTGAGTGTCTTCAGGATTAGAACTAGAAAACAGAGAACATTGGCATTTTGACTGTAAAAGTTAGAAGAGCAGCTTCACAGAGGTCAGGGGTGCCAACAAAACAGACGCAAAGGCTGTGCAAATGGCAGAGAAGCACACCCTTGGAGATGTCCCTGATTATTTTCCAGTTGTAGATATTTCAATTTACATAAAATTATCCAAGCCTCTGTTTCCCAGAGCAAAAAATGCCAAATATGAATATACAAAAGGTCTTCCAAAAGTTCATGTAAATATTGTAAAAAAGCTATGTTTGGATTTCAAAATTATTTTGTACCAAAATAAATTTATCTTTCAATTCCACTTTTGAAAATACTCTTTGAAGTTTTCTTATATGTGCTTACATTTTTAATGCATGAAATAATTCAAGAAAAAAGGATTTAATAAGCATTTACTATGTATTAAGTGCCTCTCAATAGTAATAGGTAAAGTGGTAAAAAGCACAGATGAAGGCTCTGCCAGACATATTCTAGTTTATGAGAAAAATAATAAGCAAGCAGATAAATACTTTCTGGTATTAATAAAGTAATACGAGTAAAATTAAATTGTATAGCATAAAGAAAGGTGGGAGGGGTTAGGAAGAACAGTGCTAGATATTGCCTTGCTGATTAGAGACTTGGACAGAAAGAATAGACCAGTCTAATGTGGGTTGGAAGAAGATCTTTCTAGGTAGAAGAAACAAGTGAGTTTCTCTGGTTTGCAATGTGTAAGGAAGCAAATTAAGAAGGCCAGAGTAGCTAAATGCTGGTAATGAAATGGGAGTGTGATCAGAGGTCTACACATACACATACACATGCAAACTCAATTAAAAATAGAAACATACAGAGAAATCAGTTTAGTTCTAGCTTTATAAAGGATTATTAGAGATAGAAATGTAAAATTCCATAGTTACAGCTTAAGCAGATAGCATTAGGAGACTTTGGAGACTTTAGAGAATAGTATTCCTCATGGTACCAGGACAAATGTTTACCATGTAATACTAGAGATTTATTTTCTCCCCCTTATAAAAAAATAGATAAAATTTTAGAAGAGAAGTTTTATTGTTTTTTATAAATATTTATATGAACTCATTCCCATCACTGACTGTGTTGTATTCATAGGATACTGTCAACATAAACTAATGATATAATTAGGAAAAGTGAAATAAATTTAAAATTATGGCTTTGATATAAAATATCACTGAATTTTCATCAAATTGTGAGAACATATCTATTAAAATAAATGCTTAAAATAATTCTATTGTATAATGCTATTTAAACCTTCTGTATTAAAAATATTTAGTTTTAATTTAAAAAAGGTAAATATCAGGCAGGCATTTGGCCTAGCAGTTAAGATCCTGATTTGGATGCCACATATTCCTTATGGAGTACCAGGGTTCAAAAGAGGAAATTTTCAAAGGAGGAAATTCAAATGGCCAACAGACATATGAAAAAATGCTTAGGATCACTAGCCATCAGGGAAATGCAAATCAAAACCACAATGAGGTTTCACCTCACCCCAGCTATAATAGCTTTCATACAAAAATCAGCATATTACAAATGTCGATAAGGATGTGTGGAAAAAGGTATCCTAATTCACTGTTGGTGAGAATGTAAACTGGTACAGCTGCTGTGGAACAGTATAGAGATACCCCAGAAATCTGAATATAGACCTATCATATGACTCAGCCATCCCACTCCTGAGAAATTACCTAAAGGAAATGAAATCAGCATATGAAAGAGTTATCTGTACTCCCATGTTTATTGCAGCTCAATTCATAATAGCTAAAGATATGGAATCAACCCAGATTTCTGCTCATTGGCCAAGATATAAGGCAGTACGAGGTCCTCATCAGAAGCCAACCTGATGCAGACACTGTACTCTTAGACCTCTAGAACTGTGAGCCATATAAATCTGTTTTCTTTATAAGTTACCCAGCTGGGGGCATGTTGTTATACCAACAGAAAATGGACTAACTAAATGCATTATTGTTAAGTAGGTGAAGACTGGCTTTAAAAGACCTTGGCCTGGGGTCGGTACCATGGCTCACTTGGCTAATCCTCCGCCTGCAGCACTGGCATCCATATGGGCGCTGGGTTCTTCTAGTCCCGGTTGCTCCTCTTCCAGTCCAGCTCTCTCTTGTGTCCCAGGAGGGCAGTGGAGGATGGCCCAAGTGCTTGGGCCCCTGCACCCACATGGGAGACCAGTCCAGCTCTCTGCTGTGGCCCGGGAAGGCAGTGGAGGATGGACAGTGCTTGGGCGCCTGCACCCACATGGGAGACCAGGAAGAAGCACCTGGTTCTTGGCTTCGGATTGGTGTAGCTCTGGCCGTAGAGGCCATTTGGGGGGTGAACCAACAGAAGGAAGACCTTTCTCTGCCTCTCTATCTCTCAAATTCTATCTGTCAAATAAAAAAAAAATTAAAAAAAGACCTTGGCCTGAAAGGAAGAGTGTGATGTTAAAAGGAGAGAAAAGAATGACAAAACAAAGACACAATAATTCCATAGGAGTGCAAATAGTTTTAAAGAACATGCATTAACCTAAACAGAGCCACAGTAAAATAAAATATAACAAGCATAAAAAATAAACTACTAAATAATGTAAATGAATGCAAAATGTATAACTCATATTTTTTTAGTTTAGGTGAAAGTTAACAAAAGATGTTTCAGATTTCAGTCCTACACAGGAACTTTAAAGGTTAAAGTTAAAAAACTTGGGATAGAAAAATGTTTTAAACATTTTTAGGAGCAAATATCAGAGATCTCCATGACATTACACTGATAAAGAAATTTTTTAATTTTTATTAATATAAAAGGAACATATTTCATGTATTTCATAGGTACAGTTCTAAGAAGATACCATACTTCCCTCTGTCCTTCAACCCCTTCCTTCCTTCCTGAGAAAGAAATTCTTAAGGGCAAAGGAAAGGACTGAGAGATTTAAGTATCTTAGAATTTGATGAAATATTTAGAAATTCTGTTCATCAAACAGAATACAATCCGGGACTAGATACTTGACATATCTATTATCTAGTGTGTTGCATGGATTACTGGTACATATTCATTTCTGTCCCTTTCCAAACTCCTGTCTTTATCACATGGCTGAAAGTCTAAACACCACATCCTCAGATGTCCTTGCAGCTGAAGTTGTACATGAGATAACAATTTCAATAGCCAGAGTCACGAGAGGAAGATAATAAAGGCAGAAGTGAGTTATGACCATGTTTTTAATGATGTGACAGCAGCCAAGCAAAACAATGGACTTGAGTGTCTCTTGTCGTCAATACTCAGCACTCCATTATCCAGCTTCATGGAAACTATGCTGCAGTGCTAGCAAAAGTGATGGAAGGCAGCAGCATAAATTGCTGACCTCTGAGGTGTGACCCCAAAACTAATGTGTTATTGTACTTAAATGTAAATGAATTAAATTCTTTCTCATTTGAAATCTCTAGTTATTGTTTACCACATTAACACTGACTGGCACACCGTTAAGTATGTACTTCAAAAACTAAATAAGGGAAAAATTAAAGAAATACTCAGAGACAACAGGAAAAAGAAATGAATAAGCAATCAATGAGAAAAGAAAAACAAATAGGAAAACAAATGTGAAAAATGGCCAACCATATTATTACAGCAAAATGGAAATTAAAACCACAATGAAAATTTACTTAGTTGTCAAAACAACAAATTTAAGAAGCTGATAAAATATATGGATCCATATAAACTCATAAATATTACTGATGAAAATATAAATTGGCAACTACTTTGGAAATCAAGTTGACAATAAAATGCAAAATTGAACATTCACATAACCTGTTTCATCACTTGAAGCATTTGTGCATGATATTTAGCAAAAAAGTAAGTTCTAGAATACTAGATGATATCATATTTCTATATGCAAATATATATAATACATTGGTTTTATATATAACTATAGAAAAATTTGAAGAGAATGACAAAATTCAAAATAAGATTCACTTCTGGTAGAGGAATGACAAATGGAAGGAATAGATGGATACATGCATGGGTATTAGAAACATCTGTAGCTTTTAAGCTAGGTGGTGGGTTGACAAGTTTTCATTGTGTCAGTCTGTTTACATATAATGCTCTAAACTATTATTGCTGGTGTTCATAAGCTGTGTATTATTATGTACCCCATAATAAACCCTTACTTTTTCTCTTAGAGTCAGACCAATAAAATAGGTTCTGTTATTATCTTCAATTTATAGACAGGGAAACTGAAACAGAAGGAAGTTAAATAACTGGTCTAAGGTCACACAGCTAGTAAGTAATGATGTCAGGAGCCAATCAGGCCCCTGAGTCCACAGTCTTAACTAGTATATTATATATATCAAATAGCAAGTAACAAAAATAAAAGTTATCTAAGACAACAATAAAAGAATCAACAGCTATTTGTCTACCTTTCATTTTCCTTGATGACATTTTGAAGCTGTAGTTTCATCTCTCCCATCTGTTTCTGTAAGAATAAAATATGGCATAGCAATACATTTTATAATTAGATCTCCATTAAGTAGTCCATTCACATGCAATCATATTCTATGATACTAGTCTACAAATAAGAGTTATTCTTTATCCCTGAAAAAGCAGTATTAAATAGTTTAATCATATGTAGATTATAGTAAAACATGTATTTTGAGTAGAATATAAAATATTTTTCGCAATATATTGCCAAATATTTATAAATATATTTCCTACTATTCATAGATGTGATAAACATGAAAAATATTCCTCAGTATGTCACTACCACAAATACCGCAAGATTTCTACCTTTTCAATGTAAAGACCTCAATTTAGGTGAAGCCCATATTCTCATGTGTATTTTTTTAAATTTCAAAAGGTACAATGTTAATGGTTAAAAGGAAATAGAGGTCTTGTTTAGCAGTCATTCAGTCTCTCATTCACCACCTTTATTAATTATCTAAACTCTCTGCAGGATGTGAGGCTGCCATAGCAAGATATGATTACCGACATGCTTAGTTGGAAAGAGGGTTAAAAAAAAAAATCACTAAACAAAATACAATGAAGAATAAAACAGATACTATAAAGGGAATGAGATGAAGTTACAGTTAATTTTCTTTGAAGGAATAATGGGCTTGTTAGGACTTGAAGAAGAAAGTAAGAACATTTCAAGTAAAGAGAAATATGAGCAAAAGCAAAAAAGGGAAAAAGCTCTCAGAATGAATGGTGAGTAGAGAGCTGGAGACACGTAAAATCATACTTAAAACAAAACTGCAATCAACTCATGATACATCCATTAGTCTTGACTATGCGCCCTAAGCTAAAGGAGAGAAGCCAAATCTGAAGTGAACCTTGGCAAGGGATGAGTGGAACAGGCAGTTCTCCAAACCTTTCTTCCTGTCAACCTGGGAAGCTAAAGGCCAACTAGCCTAGAAAATCAGCAACAGTTAATTCTAACTATTCAGTTGGCTTGGAAAGTACACTTTCTCCAAGTTCCTGCTATGCCTGTAACATGATTAAACCAAAATGAATTAATTCACTATCAGATAATTGGGCCTGACCATATATGGAGCGATTCAGTGAGAGATAAAATTGGAAAGGCAGGTGCAGAATCTGGAATATCAAGATAAGAGATTTGAATTTTATTGTAGCAATTATTCACAATTTATAATTTTTTAAAAAACTTATTGATCTTTGAGGCTGGCACTGTGGCATAGTAGTAAGCCTCCACCTGTGGTGCCAGCATCCTATATGGACACTGGTTAGAGTCCTGGCTGCTCCATGTCCAATCCAGCTCTCTGCTAATGGTCTGGGAAAGCAATGGAGAATGACTCAGGTGCTTGGGCCTCTGCACCCATGTGGGAGATCTGGAAGAAGCTCCTGACTCCTGGCTTCGGATTGGCCCAGCTCTGGCCACTGTGGCCATTTGGGGAGTATTGCAGCAGGTGGAAGACCTCTCTATCTGTCTCTCCCTCTGTCTCTTCCTCTCTCTGTCTGTAACTCTGCCTCTCAAATAAATAAATAAATCTTATAAAAAATTGATCTTTTAAAATTTCACAAATAGCCACTTGAAAAGTATTAAATAATTATAGTGTATATATATATAACTATATACACATATACACACATTAAGTAAAATTAAAGATGAATCATGGCAATCATATTACAAATTCTTTACTGTAAAAAATTCCAAACTATTTGAAATTTGGAAGGAAATGAAATCTACAGAATATTTCACACTACCAAAATTTTCCTTACTAGTTATATTTGCTGGCAGAAAGTCTTTCATATAGAGAATTGCACTGATACTTTTCCTGCTTTGAAGATACACTATTTTTGACTGGGTCAATAAGCCATAAGAACTAGTTCTATTAACAGATATGATTTATATGGGTCATTATTTTTGGAAGAGCTTAAAACATTTTTTTCTCTCTAAATGAAGTAACGACCATTTGTATCATGATAGCCTCTTGGGCTTACTACTATAGCTTCTTTCTTTTAGTTAATTCAGTAATCACCCTTAGGTTGTAAGAAATGCCAAATGGAAAAACTAAGTTAACAAGTTAGTAATACAGCTGATTAAAGAGATACATGAATCAGACTACAGATTATTTACAAGTTTAACTTCAAGATAACTAGCTATTTTATAACAGTCAAAGCACAAAAAAAGGTCACACAGCAATTCAGAGTTAATTCAGCAGAAACTTGAGATTCATTCATTCCAAAAACAAACGTAAAATGCTATTTAAGCACAGAACTTTCTTTTGCTCTTTAATTGTCAAATAGAAAGATTAAAGGAAATAACTGTGGTTTGCTCAAACTGTAATGACTACAGGCTAAAAAGTGCTTAATAAAGACAAGGAAAAGATTTAATTAACTAATGACAAAACAGAAACTGCATTTAAAGAAGTTTGGGTCTGCAGGAACACTATAAATTTATGTATGAGTGGAATAACCTTAAAATAAAAATCAAAGTTATTCCAGATGCAATAGAAGACTCTAACTTTATTTTTTAGAAGTTGTAAGTATTATGTGATCTTTGAATAAAGCTGCATATCAATCCACTAATTGATAAATAGTAGATTAACTCTCATCATTTTGTTCCCATAAGTTCTGGCAATCAATCATTCATCAAATATTGAAGGCTTACTAAGTGCTACACTTTAAAGCATACCATATGATCTCTTCTTCATATAAGAGAAGAGAAAGTAAGGGGGAAAGTGCAATTCCATTCTACAAAAATCAGTCTCAGGGTTGTTTTACAAAAGGTTCTTTCTTTCATTTGCATTAAATTAGTCAATGCTGGTACCCTAGCCACAGCTAATTTAGCCACTGCTAAAGTGATCAGGATTGATACTGGCAAACACAATGAAGGATATATTTAATTATTTACAAAGAGAAGTCATTGCCTCCTGGTGGGCTTAATTTAAAACATACATATTAAGTTCTATTCAGGAAATTTGCTTCTATTATATTATTATCCCAGTCAGAAAGGTTAAAATTTGGGGAGAAAACATGAGGCATTTTCAGATATAAAAAACATTATAAATATTAGGTTATACTCTAAAAATGTGGTTCACTGAGACTCAGAGATAATCCTGAACAATTCTGTGTCACCATTCTAGTTTTTCAGGATCTGCTATTTTTCTCATCTTAGAAGCCCTGGACCCAGAGTAGAAATTTGTCTGTTCCTTACTCCCTTCACTCCTAAAATAAACTGATTACTAAGAGATCTTGGGGGAGAAAAAATTGTTAATAGTTTATGCCTATACTGAAAGTGGATCAATAGCATCTAAAACAATAAGACAAAAGCATCTGAGAGAAACACTTGAAATTTGGGAACAAAAACTATTCTCTGAATTATGGGAAATGCAAGATGAATATAGGTAAGCAGAATGCTCTAAAAGAATTTTAGATGGTTTGATAGAAAAATCAAACAAACAAGAAGTAAGCAAATAATAACAGGATGAAAAGATTGCACTACACATGTAAGAGATGTTCCTTCCAGATAGCAAGAGCAAGGAAATATTGGATTAAAAGACAAAACTGAAGATAATCTTTAAACACATATACAGACCCAAAATTGTTATAGCTTATCGATTCTTCCTTATCAATGTTTTTAAAAAGAAAAAAATCTATTACAAAAAGTTTCATAACTATGATTTCATACCTGGTAATATTTTAGCTGTGCATTTAGCTCTTCTATATTTTTATCATACTCAGTAATAAGAGGGGCTAAAAAGCTAGAGGAAAAAAATGCATAATTTTATTTTATAATTTTTATTTAATGAACACATTTTTACATAGATACAACATTAGGAATATAGTGGTTCTTTCTCCCATACCTCTCCCCCAGTTCCCATTCTACCTCCTTCTCCCTCTCCCATCTCTTTCTTCATTATGGCTCATTTTTAGTATGACTTTATATACAAGAACCAACTCCATGCTGATCATAAACTTCAACAATTTGCACCCATGCCCACACACAACATATAGAGTACAGTTTGGGGAGAGAATTTGCAATCAATTCTCATATTACAATTCAATAGGGACAGAGGTCCTACATGGGGAGCAAATGCACAGTGACTACTGTTGTTCCTTTAACAATTAACACTCTTTTTTATTTATGATGTCAGTAATCACCTGAGGCTCTTGCCATGGGCTGCCAATGCTATGGAAGCCTTTTGTGATCACAGACTCCACTGGTATTTGGACACAGGTGTAAGCAAAATGGATGTTCTCTTCTCCCTTCAGAGAAGAATATCTCCTTCTTTGATGACCCTTTCTTTCCTCTGAGGTCTCACAGAGATCCTCTGTGTAGGATATTGTTTTGTCACAGAGTCTTGGTTTTCCAAAAATGCATAATTTTAAATACGACATATGCTGCTCCATGTAGTTTAATAAATATGTAACAAGTGAATGAATTATAAATTTTTTAAAAAAGTATGCTTAATTTACCCAAAGGAATCAATATCTTGCCTTTTTTCCTAAACCAGGGGCTTTAACCTTAGCACAATTAATACTTCAGACTGAAAAACTATGGTAGGCAGGCTGGTCTATGCACTGTAGGATGTTTAGCAATATCCCTGGCCTCCATCTATTAGATATTACTAACAGTCTCATTCCCCACGCTGTGACAAGCAACAATGTTTCCAGGTATTGCCAAGTATCTCCTGTGAGAACAGGAGCAAAATTGTTCCCCACTGACAACCAGTCTTATAGATTCCATAATACTTGCTTTTACTCATCAATTTAATTAAGATCACTTAAGCCTAATATAACAGACTATAAAATAAACATTCCTAATACTAAAGGATTTATTTTAATGATAATTGAATTTAGTTAAGAAAACCATATTTCTCTGGAAATAATTTACCTTTGGTCAACTACTGAGTTTTCTAACATGTCTTCTCCGTCTCCTTTGAAGACAGCTTTCTGTAACACAGAATACGCATTTTAAAATGCTTTCTCATATTAAAATTGACAGTTTAAATCTAAATACAATTAAAAATTTGAAACTTTACAAAATCTAGTGATAATTTTAACAGAATTAACAGAAAATTAAACAGAAAAAAAAATTTAACAGAAAAGAAAAAAAAAAGAAAAAAATCATCTCAGTTGATATTGAAATTCATTTGGTATATTTAAAAGCCATTAAAAACTCTGGACAAATCAGAAATACAAAAAAGTATCTACCAGAAACCCACACAAATTACCATTCTTCAGTGAAACCACAGAATTAATTCAGTAAATTCAGTAATACAATGTTGCTAAGCGTCACTGTTAAAATTCAACATTTTTCTAAATGTTTTTGCCAATGTAATACGTTATGGAGATAATTTAAAGGTTAAAAAGCAAGATACAATGCTAATAATATTTAGACGCAATTTGACCACTGACAGAAATTTCATATAACATAGCACTTATTAGGACTAAAAGAGCATACGCTGAGTCATCAGATAGAAGATCAATATTAAAATATAAAATTCAGTAGCTTTTTCAAACACCAGCACTCTTCTTTTTTTGATCTACTTTGAAAGAGATTTAACAATTTTATAAATCTTTTTAAACAATCAATTGAAAAATTCTACTTTTTTTTTTTTTTTTTTAATTTGAAAGGTAGAGGGAGAGAGGAGACACATCTTCTCATCTGTTGGCTCATGCTGCAAATGCTCAGAATACTCGGAGTATCAGAAGAGTTTAGAACTCAATCTGGGGCCGGTGCCACAGCTCACTTGGCTAATCCTCTGCCTGTGGCATCGGCACCCTGGGTTCTAGTCCCGGTTGGGGCGCCGGATTCTGTCCCCATTGCTCCTCTTCCAGTCCAGCTCTCTGCTGTGGCCCGGGAGTGCAGTGGAGGATGGCCCAGGTTCTTGGGCCCTGTACCCGCATGGGAGACCAGGAGGAAGCACCTGGCTCCTGGCTTCGGATTTGGATCGGCGCAGTGTACCAGCTGCAGCAGCCATTTGGGGAGTGAACCAATGGAAGGAAGACCTTTCTATCTCTCTCTCTTACTGTCTAATTCTCCCTGTCAAAAAAAAAAAAAAAAAAAAAAAAAAAAACCCTCAATCTGGGTCCACTGCATGAGTGGTAGGGACCTAAGAACTTGTGCCATTACCTGCTGCCTCCCAGGTGTGCATGAGTGAGGAGCAGAGCTAGACCTCAAGCTCATATACTCCGACTTGGGATACGAGTGTCCCAAGTGGCAGCTTAAATGCTACATGAAATGCTGCCCGAATAAGCAACTTTTTTAGCTTTGTGGGTTTTCCCAATCTTACATTTATTTTTATCCCACTGGTTTCTATTGCTTCTTTCTTTGGGCTTATCTTGTCCTACTTTTCTGATCTTTTCTCCTACTTAAATACATGTAATTAAGCCTATATACTTTCCTTTATACACTGCTTTAGCTGCATGCATCCTACAAGTTGTTTTTAAGGTTTACATTTTTTATTTTGAGATTATTCTGATTCACATGTAATTGTAAGAAACAACAGAGAGATGTCAAATAGCTTTTGCCCAAGTTTCTCCAATGGTAACATATTACAAAACTACAGCATTATATACAGATGCTACTTGACTTTTGGTAACATTATGTCCCAAAAAAAGTTATGCTAAGTTGAAAACATCATAAGTCAAAAAGGAACTACATCATGGTTTAGCAACACAGAACACTGCAGAATACTGGTTACTTATCCTCAGGATCAAATGGCTGCCTGGGAGTCAGCTCTCTGTTGATGCCCAGCATCGCAAGAGTGTACAGTATTGCATATTGCCTGCCTGGGAAAAGATCAAAAATTTAAATATGGTCTTCCATCTGATGGTTCTCTCCTCAAATGGCTGCAACGGCCGGAGCTACGTCGATCTGAAGCCAGGAACCAGGAGCTTCTTCCTGGTCTCCCACTTAGGTGCAGGGGCTGCCCAAGGACTTGGGCCTTCTAATGCTTTCCCAGGCCATAGCAGAGAGCTGGACAGGAAGTGGAGCAGCCAGTTCCCAAACCAGCGCCCATATAGGATGCCAGTGCTTCAGGCCAGGGCGTTAACCCACTGAGCCACAGTGCTGGCCCCACCCTTTCTCTTTAAAAAAAAAAAAAATTGGAATACAGTTTAAATGCCAAGAAAGGCACTAAGTGTACAGATAAATGATTTTTATTTTTGTCATCGGTCACACTCTAAGGGATATAATGCAGTATTTCTCTTTTTATATCTGGCTTATTTCACTGAGCATAATGTCTTCAAAATTCAGCTGTCAAAACTGGCAGCATTCTTGGTGGATGACTTTTTTCAGTACTTTGAATATATCATTCCATTTTCTCTATAATTGTAAGGGTTCTGCTGAGAAATCCACTGAAAGCCTCATGGAAATTCTCTTGTAGGTGATGAATCTTTTTTCCCTGACTGCTTTCCAAATTCTATGTCTCTGATTTTTGATAATTTGATCATAACATATCTCAATAAAGTCATTTTTGGGTTGTACCAAGATGTCTAGATCTCTCAGGATTTTAGACATTTTCAGACATTGTTTCTTTAAATGAGCTTTGTGCCTCTTTTCCTTTCTCTCTCTTCTTAAATTCCTATAATCCACATATTATTTCTTCTCATAGTGTGTTATGAATACTATAACATTTCTTCATTCCTTTTCATCTTTTTAAGCTCTGTCTAAATTCAAAAATCTTTCCTCAAGTTCACAGATTCTTTCATCTGCTCACTAAGTCTTATACTGAAGCTCTACTACATTTTCCACTTCATTCATTGTAGTCTATAGCTCCAGAATTTCCAATTTGATCTTTATAACTCCCTCTTTGCTGAACACATATTATTTATGTATTGCTTTCTTCATATCATTGAATTGTCTTGTCTTTCTTTGTTTTGTTTTATGGTAGTTCACTGAGTTTCTATAAAATGATTATCTTATTTTTTTATTTTATTTTATTTTTTTGACAGGCAGAGTGGACAGTGAGAGAGAGAGACAGAGAGAAAGGTCTTCCTTTGCCATTGGTTCACCCTCCAATGGCCGCCATGGCTGGTGTGCTGCGGCCGGCGCACCACGCTGATCCGATGGCAGGAGCCAGGTACTTCTCCTGGTCTCCCATGGGGTGCAGGGCCCAAGCACTTGGGCCATCCTCCACTGCACTCCCAGGCCACAGCAGAGAGCAGGCCTGGAAGAGGGGCAACCGGGACAGAATCTGGCGCCCCAACCAGGACTAGAAACCCGTGTGCCGGCACTGCAAGGCGGAGGATTAGCCTAGTGAGCCGCGGCGCCGGCCATAAATGATTATCTTAAATAATTTGTTAAACAATTTGTAGTTCTCCATTTCTTTGAGACTATTTTCTGGGAAGTATCAGGTTCCTTTGATGGCGTAATATTTCCTAGGTTTATCTTGTTCCTAGAAGAGTTTTGTTGTTTACTCATTTGAAAAAATACAGATACAGGGCATGCATGTGCAGCAGGTTAAGCTGCACTAGGGACACTTGCATCCCACAGTGGATTGCTGGTTTGAGTCCTAGCTACTCCATTGCCAACCCAGCTCTCTCCTAATGTGCCAGAAGCAGCAAATGATGGCCAAAGTACTGCAGTTCTTGCCACCCAAGTAGGAGACTCAGTAGGAATTCCTGGCTGCTGGCTTCAGTTTGGCTCATCCCCAGCTCTTGCAACCATCTGAGGAATGAACCAGAGGATGGAAGATTCTCTTTCAAATCAATCAATAAATCTTAGAAAGGTGATTTAGAAAAAAAAAAAAAAAAGCAAAAAGAAAAAAACAGATGCTTCCCTCAGTATTTACTGATAGGCTTTGGGAGAGAAATCCTTCCACCAAGATACCCTCAGATGTTTCACACACTCCACTTTTTTTCTCCCTTTTAGGGAGAAAGTCTCAAGATTGTATGTCTTTCCTCAATCACATAAAACCAGGCCAGCTGCTTAGAGTTTTTCCCTTTCTCCCTTATGGTGGTACCCTGAAATGCTCAAATTTGTGCTCATTCTCCCAATTCTGCAGAGTTAAGCCAGCTGACTTTGTATGCTTATAGGCCATCTAAAAATGATCATATTCTTCACTTGGGTATGCACTTAGGAACCAGTCATGGGTCTGGGGGTGGGAAATGAAGCTCATGGAGGGGCAGGTATCTGGCATTGTTTAAGACACTACTTGGGATGTTGTATCACATATCATGTCCTGGCTCTGCTGATACCAGCTTCCTGCTAGTGCACACCCTGGGAAGCAGTGGACAATGACTCAATTTTTAATTTTCAAAAACAGTGAAATATAAGTGTCTTAAAAAGTTCATAAAAAAGTACATTATGAAAAAATTTTACATGGTTTAAAAAAATTTTTGCACCAAAATAAACATCTCTTAATCCCACTTTTAAAAAAATTATTTATTTATTTAATTGAAAGGCAGAGTTACAGAGTGGCAGAGGCAGAGAGTGAGAGAGACATAGAGATCTTCCATCTGCAGGTTCACTCCCAAGCTGTGCTGATCCGAAGCCAGGAACCAGGAGCTTCTTCTGGATCTCCCACATGGGTGCAAGGGTCCAAGGACTTGGGCCATCATGTACTGCTTTCCCAGGCCATAGCAGAGAGCTGGACTGGAAGTGGAGTAGCTGGGACATGAACCAGTGCCCATATAGGATGATGACACTGCAGGCAGTGACTTTACCCAATATGTCACAGTGCTGGCCCCTCCATGAACTTTTTGACATCCTTCTATGTCATTTAGGTTAATTTTTCAATTCTGATTAGTTTTTATTTTTTTTTTATTTTTGTTTTTATTTATGCCTGTTTCCTGTTATGAGAGATATATTAAAATCCCCTCCTCCCCCTTAACAGGGCCTACTTGCTTCTGTTTTCCCTGTGGCTTTATCATCTGTCTTTGTACATGTTGAAGCTATGGAATTTGGTGTATGTGAATCTGAGTTATTATAAATTACCTATGATTCA